TTCTAATATTAATATATTTACTGAAAAAAATTCACTTATAAGTGGAGCCATGTGGTTTGAACCTGTGCTATTCAAGGGTTAACCGTATATGAATCCAAGAATGTTTTTCTTACACCTCAGAAAAGCTATTTTTAAAAATTAGGAACTAGCATAGAGTACCTGTCACAGGTAAAGTGCAATTTGTTACCATTCCTCTTTTGCCCATTTCAGTACTTACAGTTACCTCAATGGTAAAAATAAAACAGGTGACAGTCACCAGATCTGGAAGTCCTGACTGTGCTTTAACCTGGCAGATGTAATCCAGTCATTATCCTGTCAGTCTGTAGGAACACCGAAAGGCATTAAATAAATGCTGTCTAACTTTGGGAAATGCCAGCATGTGATTGCCTCTAGAGGAACCTCCTTGAACAAAATTTATCTGCTACAGGTGGCTTGGCAACAGGAAAAAAAATTTTTTTTAATGTTATTTCCTCATTAGGATATTTTTAAAAAATTACAGCGCTTACCATGCCTCCACATTACATAGATCCCGGCCACCAGCACCCACGTGACCACCAGCAGAGACAGGAGGAGGAGAGGCAGCCAGCCTCCTAACACGCTGCTGTCTGGAGAAAACAAAGCTCACTCACCTTTGGCAAAACAAAACCATGTTTATCTCCTGTTTGAAAACTAAGATTTTTTACTCTATACTTTGTAGAAGTTTAGATCGCTTTAAAACCAAGGGTCAGAAGATCTTTTGAGAGTCTGCTAATCTGTTTTTCCATTAGATTCTCAAAAGGGATGTGGGACCCAGGAGATTAAGAACAGTTTTCTACAAGCTCTTTGGCCTCTCACTCCTTACCTGCACAGGCATTTTCACTGTAGTAACCAGAGTACACATTTGGTTTTTTGTTCTTTGAGGAATCAGTATTATTCTGGGATTCTGGGTGTAGTTACTTACTTACATAGTATGTGTAGATGGCTTTTTTTTTTTTTTTTTTTTGAGACAGCGTCTTGCTCTGTCTCCTGGGCTAGAGTGCAGTGGCGTCATCATAGCTCAGTGCAACCTCAAAGTCCTGGGCTCAAGTGATTCTCCTGCCTTAGCCTTTAAAGTAGCTGAGACTACAGGCATACACCACCATGCTCAACTAATTTTTCTATTTTTTATAGAGACAGGGTCTCACTCTTGCTCAGGTTGGTCTTGAACTCCTGGCCTCCAACCTTGGCCTCCCAAAGTACTAGGATTACAGGTGTGAGCCACCATGCTCAGTCTAGATGGCATTTTTAAAAGCTGTTTTGTTAGACTGATACATGTTGGGGATAATGCCAGCCCCTCACAGGAACATCGAGGCTCAGGTAAATTCAGGCACAAAGTGCCCAAGCATCCATGAGGCCCTGTGCCTACGCAGAAGTCGGGATTGTTAGGCACCTGGGTTGTCTTCATTTGGCTGAGATTCTAAGAATGACACCTTCTAACTTTTGACCCCATCCCTGGGCTAGTTCTGGCAACATTTTATTTGTCCATCTGTAATGAAAGAACTAACTGACACTTCTCTAAATCTAGGGAGACATTTTGCAGAACACGTTGCTCTCAGGCACCAGTAAGGTGTGTCTTTGGTGCCAGTATTCCTGATTTGTTTATTCAAATGTTGGCTGTGTGACCGCATCAAGTCACAGTAACAGCTCAGCCTGGGCCGCCGAGACTGTGTATTCCCTGTACACCCAGCCATTTTGTGCCATTGACCTTTTTCAGCAGATCCTTGTGACACTTAGAACATCCATTTTATGCTGTTTATTTTTTTCCTTTCTTCGGTGTATCCTGCTTCATAAAGGGTTGTGAGTGGTTTTACAAATAAACCCTTTGTTCTTACTCTGTCGTAGGCTCTCTGGGACGGCATTGGTGGCTTTCTTTGCATCCCAGTTCAGCATACATAGGCAGGGACCCCTCACACTCCCCATGTGCACATGCCCTGCCACATACTGAGTGGGCGGCAGTGAAAATTGGGGCCTTTATGTCCTGAACTGCTTTGATCATCCTATGAAAACAATGGAGCACTTACTTGTATCCAGAGGGAAGGGAACACCTGTTCGTGGGCAAAGCACAACAGTTCCTTTGTGTCGGATGCAGTCGTTGCCACAAGTAGAGAAATATGGAATCAACTGAGGAAAAACGAGAGACAGAAAGTTCACAATATGCTTCAGAGCAAAATCTCAACATTATTCCTACTTCACCAAACCTTCTCTTCCCTTTTTTCTGGTTTCAGCCCTACATCTAGCATTGTCATGGGCATTTTTTCCTTGGTCACACATCTGTAACAAAGTCCTAAAATCCAAACCAGTGACCTGAGACTGAAACACCTAAGACCCCCAAGTTCTGAACCTAAACTCTGTACATGTAACTAACATGCTGGGTTCCTTATCTGAAAGGGCTAGGTCACATCTTAACACACAATATTTCCTCTAGACAAAGAGAGCAGTAGTGCTCTTAATGACTTCAGTCGGTGCTTTACAACAGGCAGGTCCCCTAGGACTAGGAAATTCTGTGGTTCCCTAGAAAAGGGGTGTAGTCGTAATGTGCTTGCCCCTGCCAGCATATCTGGGCATTTCATGTTCCAGAGAATGAGGAATAAAAGCTCCTTATTCTCCTGGGTGTGGCTGTGTCCCGTTGGACCCTCCATGTCCCCACTTTATAAACGCAGAGTTGAAAGAGACCTGAGGGCATCTATGGGTCCAACTTCCTGTTTTCTGCCTTGGTCAGCGGAGGCCCTGAGAGGACAGGCAGTCCCTCTCCAAAGTTCATGCACTCATGTGGAACCCAGACCTTCCAATTTCAAATCCTTTGCAACTTCATTTTGCTGCTAAAACTGAGGCTTGGGGAAGTAAGATGGTACTCCCATCCCTGAGTGTTTGTGACAGAAATGGAAAGAAAAGCATTTTGGAAAGTGAGCAGCCACTAATACAGGCAAAAGGACCCCCACTGCGAGGTCAGCTTCTTGGCCTCAGCACCATGGAGACTGCAGAGGAGGAGCCTCCATTTACATCACTAAACTCGAGTCTGCTGGCAGGAGTGTGTTTGGGAGGAGAGAAGGAACTCATCCTTAAGAGGACTCATCGAAAGCAATTATGGGGGAACAGTCAGTCTTCTAGTATCCCTCCCCTCCCCAAAGCACCTATTAAACTTTACCTGGACCACGGCACCTTCGCTTTCCCCAGTCACCGGAATCACTACAGAAGTTCGCGATACTTTGTTCTGGTGCAGATAAGTGAGACAGTCAAGAATTAAGTCATGAGTGAGCAGATCAAAGACCACCAGTGAAAGAGCCTTGCTTTTCAAACTGACTTTCAGTTCATTAGATTATGTTTGAACAAGGATTCATTTCATACTTCTGAAACTCCTACTTTTTTTGGTTTTAGATTCACAGTGACATATCCCAGGATACCCACAGAGACTTGTTTTTATTTGTTGAATTAACCGAAATGGCCCAGCACATTTGGACAATAGACAGTCGTGTGCTGTCTCCAAAGAGAGGCTGTTCAGGAATCCTAAAGTGTCCTCATTTTCCATCAACAAGCTAAGGAAAGCTGGAGGTTGATGATGGGGGTGACATTAAGGGAATGAAGGGAAAGAGTACCTCCAACACGTTGGAAAACCCAATGACGGTGTTATTCAGGATAAGAGCCATGTATCTATTTCCAAGAGGACTGGTTGTAAAATTCACTTCTACTGTCTTCTCATTCTTCTTACAAGCGGTGATGTTTGGATCCCACAGACTTCCTGTGAGTTGAGAGAGAATCGTGTGGATGAACCTGCTACCTCCTGCCTCATTAAAATTCCCCAAAGGGCTTTGCAAAAACAAATCTAAGTTCTCAGGCACACATCTAAGAGACAGGGACACCACTACACAGCGAACTTTTTATCATTGCTCCCAGAGTCCCAAAGTATCTGCTATCCAAGAGAAGTATAGGGATCCGGCTTCGCTGCTCTGCTGAAAATAGCTTCCCTGGGCTGGGGGTGGTAGGAGGCTCTGACTGGGTTCTTAACCTCTGCTTTGAGATAAGGGCTGGCAGTGGGCGGGGGTGGGAGGGATGTCAGTGTTTTCTCCTTCCCAGGATGGGGAGAAGGAGCCACACGTTAGGAGACATGCCTAAGATTACAGAGCAAGTGACTTCAGGATCAGGAATATGACCACTAGAACACTCTGTGTTCCAGGAACCTCATCTATCAGACAATTCTGCCAGTTTTACTGGGTGCAAAGAAAGAAGGAAATGGCTCAAAGCTTAGAGGATACCCTGAGAGATCGACTCTGTCAGAAAAAGTCTATTGTCACATTGATGTGACTTGCAAATACGGATTAGATTGATTTCCAGGAACATGACATATAACAGCATGAATTATCTTCCCCACCTGGGAGACCATTTCGGGCCCTGGCTCAGAACTATCTTTAGGAGTTCAAGGCCCTCCGACCTCCTCACACCCCGGTGTTCACACTCCTACAGATCACTCTGGGGGAAGGCGAGAAAGGAAGCTCGGTGCTCCGAATCTGCCTTCTCACCAGGACAGCACATGCAGCTCAGTCTGACAGCGTACACAGGGAGGCCTTGTGGGGTGAAGAGTGCCTAAAAGTTTGGAAACAATCCCCCCAAATGCCACACCCTCATTTAGCGTCCTAACATTACCCAGAAATTTACACAAACCCTTGGAAATTAGGCATTAGCAACTGATTATTCTAAAGGCGCTTATTGCAAACTTAAAGGGGAAGGGATTGGGTTCTAATAATCTAGCATGTGAAAGGTGATCACCCTTGAGGACACAGGATAAGGGCATGCTTCTAGGTCATTCCTTTAGCTAACACTCCCACTTGAATGTTTGCGAATCCAAACAGAAGGTTCTCAAGGTCCCCGTAGCCACAGGTTGGCAGTGCTGGTGTCTGGGCAGGTGAAAGGGCTTACAGGACTCCAAGCCATCACGCAGGGCCTTCAGCTGCAAATGCTGTATTTACTTACCTGCCTCGATGCACTTTTTTTTATATTTCATTGTGTGGTCTAGGCAGCCTGGAAATATGAAAGTTTTTACATTTTAGAAAAGGTATCTCTGTTCCACCCTCTTGCCAACAAGTACACACACACAGGCATACCACACCTGTAACGAATTGCCAAAACATTCCAGATATAAGATGGCAAATTTAAATGGGACACTAACATTTTATTGTTAAACCAAAGATATCTCCCCATGACCAGAGTCTAATTTAAATATCTGTGGCCAGGCACGGTGGCTCACACCTGTAATCCTAGCACTCTGGGAGGCCGAGGTGGGCAGATTGTTTGAGCTCAGGAGTTCAAAACCAGCCTGAGCAAGAGCGAGACCCCGTCTCTACTAAAAATGGAAAGAAATTAATTGGACAACTAAAAATACATAGAAAAAAAAATTAGCTGGACATAGTGGTGCATGCCTGTAGTCCCAGCTACTCGGGAGGCTGAGGCAGAAGGATTGCTTGAGCCCAGGAGTTTGAGGTTGCTGTGAGCTAGGATGACGGCACGGCACTCTAGCCCAGGCAACACAGTGAGACTCTGTCTCAAAAAAAAAAAAAACACCGTATCTGTGGCCGGGCGTCATGGCTCATGCCTGTAATCCTAGCACTCTGGGAGGCCGATGGGGGAGGATCACTCAAGGTTAGGAGTTCAAGACCAGCCTGAGCAAGAGTGAGCCCCCGTCTCTACTAAAAATAGAAAGAAATTGGCTGGACAACTAAAAATATATAGAAAAAAATAGCCTGGCATGGTGGTGCATGCCTGTAGTCCCAGCTACTCAGGAGGCTGAGGCAGGAGGATCGCTTGAGCCCAGGAGTTTGAGGTTGCTGTGAGCTAGGCTGATGCCATGGCACTCTGGCCCGGGCAACAGAGTGAGACTCTGTCTCAAAAAACAAACCGTATCTGTGATCCCCAAGAGAAGACTCTTTAGAAATATTGGGTAGTATTTGTAGATACTGCCTCTTCCAAGACATGAAACTTAATCTACCCCCGGACCTCCACCCTAGGGTGGGGTAGACTTACTGACTTGTTTCCAAAACCTAGAGTTGAGAAATCTACGTAGAGTAGATTTACATGAGAACCTAGCAGGCACCACCTTAACCAAGGTGAACCTCAGCAGTGATGTCATGTGGATGCCACGCCCCAGAGGAGACTGAGGAGACACAAGGGACTGAACGTAATGGAACAGAAAGAGGACATTAATGAAAAAGCAGGTGAAATCCAAATAAAGTCTGGAGTTTAGCTAATAGAAATGTATTAATGTTGGTTTCTTAGTTTTGACAAACGTACCATGGCGACATAAGATGTTAACAATAGGAGAATCTGGGTGACAGGTATATGGAAACTCTTTTTATTAGCTTTGCAACTTTTCTGTAATGTAACTTATTCCAAAATAAAGAAGTTTATTTAAAAACAAAATGAGGTTTTGTCTCATCAAGAAAGCTGGAAACTGCTGTGTAGTAAATGGTACGGCACCAAAAACACCCTGGACCACGATCTCAGAGGCCAACAACAAACTGGAAATTACCCCATTGGCTTTGACGGCTCACCTGAGACAGACGACAGCACTGGGGCACAGAGCAGGTGACCCAGCCCAGATGGGCCCCTCGTACACATGAACCTGCCTCTTCCCCACCACGGCCTGGCATTCCACTGAGTACCACCCTGCCCCTCATAGACAGCCCAGGGACAAGCCTACTGGAGTCTGCAGATCCTCAGAGGCCTGGCCACACGCAGCCCACTAGAAAGCCAAGACTGGAACGAACAAACGTTTTGCATCAATGACATAAAAAGCAGCTAAAGTGCATTGGTCAAGAAAGACCAGAGTTTGAATGTCAGCTTCAGTTTTACTGTGTGTATAACCCAGGGCAAGTCACTTAACCTCTCAATTTCTTCATGGGGCTGTCCCAACCTCAGGGTTGTTGGGAGGCTTGAGTGAAATGTCACATGTCAAGTACTCAGCACCGTCCCTGACACACAGGAAGGGGCTTTTTCCTACATTTCACCTGACCTAATCCTCTCTGCTGTGTGAGTGAGGTGTGGTTATACCATGTCCATATTATAGGTGAGGAAACACTTGGCCAGGCCAAAGGCCTAATCCACAGTCCCCAGGCTTCTGCTCCAAACCACATACCCCAAAGCAGGCAAGGCAAGACAGAACAGTAGAAGAATGAGGAAGTTTACCTGCTGAGGTGAAATTCACAGACAAGGAAGGGCCATCTTCATTCATATTTGCATTGGGGATGTTATGGGCCCCAATGAAATAGCGTGTGTTCGGCTCCACAGGAAAGCCTAGGTAGGAAAACGTCCACTGAAAGGCAAAGCAAGGAGCCCTGAGTTCCCGACACACCGTGCAATGCAGAAACAGTACCTCTGTGTGTTGCCCTGTTCATTATAATTTCATTCCTTTTCTGCAGAAATGTATGTCTCTAGCCAGTGTCTGCGTAGGGAATGGGCACCACCCAGTTCGCCAGTGTAAGTCACAGAATCAGAGAAGTGTAAAATTTTACAGTCAGGATATAACTTATCTGGCTCCCTTCACTTTGCTGATAGGGAAATTGAGGACTAGAGATGCTGACTTGCCCAAAGGACAGAGTAGACAAGTGGCCAGAAATGGGATTTGAACCCAGGCATCCTGCCCCAAGCTCTGAGCTGAGTCATAGCTGCTCACCAGCCTGTTTGTGCAGCATGTCATCCATGTTCCCCAAAGGGCCCAGCTTGCCGCAGTTAGCCAAGTACCTAAAAGTGCTTACTTTGCCGCCAGAGGGTCTGGTCTGACTCTCGAAGGCCTTTGTGTAATTGCACCTCACACAGCTGTAGGACTGGAATTTGCCTTTGCCCATCACGCAGATCTTGGTGGCCTTCAACAAGCGGATGCTGGCTGCCGAGATAGGCAAGAGGGCAGTTGTTTATTTAGCACTTACTGTGTGGCTGACGTGATGCTAGATATTTTGCTAGCATGCTTTCCTTTACGCCTCAGCTCCTATTCACAACAGCACTAAAAGGTAGGAACAATTCTGCCCAGTTTACAGATGGAGTGAGTGAGGCGTGGGGAGTTGCAGGGAGCTTTCCTTAAACTTAACAAAGCTCAGCAGCAGCAGATCTGAATTCAAAGACCAAAGGCCAAGCACCCCTCTTCTCAGAGGTCAGCCTGGGTTTTGTAGGATGCCTGCAAAGGTGACTGTAGCTCTGCATTATTCTGGGTCTATTAAGAAGAACAGGCCTGCCTCAGAGAACCCACAAAGACCCTCCGAGGGAGTAATCACCACACCATGCCTGATCTGACTGCACCTTTGTCCTTGCTGATTCTTTTCTCTGGAAAGCCCTTTCTTCCCATTCTCTTCCTCCAAGTCTTACTTCTTTAAACCCCGTCTAACTCATGCACCATAGCCTATGACAATAGCCAAAAAAGAGTTCCCTCTGGTGCCAGGTAAGGGGCCAAAGCCTTATTGCCTCATCTCACTTAATGTAGTCTCACCAGGGGCCCTCTCCTGGGCCACCCTGCCCCATCCCACTCAGATGGAGCACAGCTCCCTTCTGGGATTCCCCTGACATTGCCTGTGTCTGCCTCCCCCTCTCCCCTGAAAGCCCTGCTGGGTAGAGACCGCAGCCAACTCATCTCTCTGTGCCTGGCATTCATGGATTCTTGAATGGATAGACTTTACCTGAATTTAGCAGATGGAAACCACAAATGTGGGCATTAGGATCCCAAGATTAGCTCATCAAAGGAACTTCACTTGCCTTGCAATGTAATCTTGGGGAAATGCCAAGAGTTTCATGATGTCATTTAGGAAGTGGAGAAGTCACCTATCTAAGCCATGCTTTTCCTAAACTAGGGGGAATCATCTCTGCCTTACCCTATCTTCTTCCACGAAGTATAACATACAGAAAGCACACAGATCGTTAAGTGTACCACTTGCATTTGCACACTCATGTGACCAGTACACAGGTCAAGAAACACCCCAGGAGCATCCCTCATGCTTCCTTTGTCATGCCTACCCCAAGAGTAACCACTACCCTGACTTCTAACCACTAGATTAGTTTTGCAGCACTTTCTGTAAATGGAATCAGCATGTACGACTGTAGGCATGCACACAGATATAAATGTACGAATTCTTTTGAATCTGGCTTCTCACGTTTGTGACATTCATGCATATTGTGTGTAGTTACAGAGCATTCACTCTCACTGCTATAATGGAATCCTTTGGTGATTCCATTCTGCTGTTGGGCCTTTCAGTCCTTTCCAATTTGGGGCTGTTATGAATAATGCTGCTATGAACAGCCTCGGATGTGCCTTTTGGTGAATGTATTTATTTCCATTGGGAATGCTCAGGAGTGGAATTAATGGGTCATATAGTCTGCACATTTCTGGTTTAGTAGAGACTTAACGCCTTATATTTGGGGCACACTTACCATCTGCCCGGAGTATCCAGCTTATATTCATCAAAATTGAATAGTCCTCCATTGCAACACTGGTTTTAACAGGTTCCACTTGGAGATCCCTCAAGTCTCCTGGGGTCAGACTGTGTGGGCTCTCCCACTCTTGAGATGGCCCTGGGAAAAGGCAAGACTTCCCGTGACACTCCTTTTCCCAGCCCCATCTGATGCCATCTCCTCTCAGTGACCCACCCTGGTCCATCCCCATTCACAAGGCGTCACTTCCTGCTAAGGTAGGCCAAGTGTTTCTTGGTGCTGGCTGTTTTACAGTCGAGGTGATGTTGACCTAAGAGAAATACTCTCAATCTCCTGGTGCCAACCTACAGAGCACTTGGGACCACTCTAGATACCTGTGTATGTAAGGATATATATATATATAGTGTATTTAACGTGTTTATTAGGGACAGCCCTGGACTCCAGCCAGCTGGCCCGCACAACCCCCATGTTCCCATTGCCTAGGCTTTGCTGGTGCCATCTCTCCTCCAGCTCACCCTCCTTGCCCACATTTCTTGGGCAGAAGCCCACCCATTCTTCAAATGCTACCATCTCAAACACCCACTCTTCTATGAAACGTTAGCTTTCTGGTCCCAACTATAAGTGATCTCCCTCTGCAGAGCGGCAGGCATCACTTTCTGCCTTGCATGGCAAGTCCTACCCTGCTGTGCCAGCCCATCTGAAACACCTCTTTATTCTCCCAGAACAGACAGAGACTTCATCTGCATCAGCTAACAAAGCAATGGTTCACCCTGTGCCTGGTCTCCGATGTCCTAAATGTATAGGCCCCCTTAAAATTACAACTATGCTTCCAAAGCAAAGCCCACAATACCCATTCCCTAATGCGCTTACCGTTTTCAGAGCCACACTGAACAGTCTGCAGGAGAGAAAGAGACCAAGTGTCATGTGGAAGCCAGCAAACCACAAGCCTTCCTCTGCTGAATTAGACAACACGCCATCTTGTCCCTTAAATGCATAAACAAGTGACCAAATTTCACAGAAAAGATAAACTGGTTCCACATCACAGCTTCATTGTAGGCTATGATGGCCCATGGATTCGCCATCAGTGTACCTGGATCCTTAAGCCAGCCCACACACTTGAAGACCAGGGGTGGGTCTCCACCTGTTCTCTGTCAGCCTTCCCTGCCACAAGCAGGGGATGACTCTGGACCATCACGAAGTCCCTTCACACTCTAATGTTTGTAGGTTTTCAGGATGGTCTGGAGTATTTATTGAGTTTCCCCAGATTAAGGAGTAGCTATGCTAAGAAGTTGAAAGGAAGAAAGCTATGAATGCAGTCCATGGTACCTTCCCCAGGTTCTTTAAAATATTCCCCTTCTGTTTTTTTAGAGACAAGGTCTCACTCTGTTGCCCAGGCTAGAATGCAGTGGCACAATCATATCTCACTGTAACCTAGAAGTCCTGGGATCAAGCCATCCTTCTGCTTCAGCCTCCCTAGTAGCTGGGACTATAGGTGTGCACCACCATGACTGGCTAATTTTTAAATTCGTTGTAGAGACAAGGTCCCCCTATGTTGCCCAGGCTGCTTTTGAACCCCTGGCTTCAAGCAATCCTCCCTCTTCAGCCTCCCAAAGTGCTGGAACTACAGGTGTGAACCACTGTGCTAGGCCAAAATATTCCCCTTGCTAATACAAAAAGGCTCACCTATGCTATTATTTAGAAAACCACAGCAACTTTGATTTCATCATGTTATCTTTTTAAAAGAACTTTAAAAAAAATAAATCTGGATTATCAGTGTCTAAGAAAATTTGGTACTAAACCCTTTGAAGTTAACTGCTCATGTCTTTCTATAAGAAAAAATAATTTGTACTTTGGTTATGGAGTAAAATACTGAACCTAAAATATTTAACTTGTAGGCAGCAGCAAGTTCCAATGACAAGACTGTGTGGTAAGTCCACCAGCTCTGGACGCTGATCCCTCTAAGTGTCCACATTTCCAAACATCTTGTAAAACAGAAGGCAAGACTTCTGTTTGAGTAATTTGGGTTTAGGCAAAATCATCAATCGCTCCTCTGTCTTTTTAAAAATGAACTCTAAAGGATAAATCAGACTTTTTAGAAAAAGAAATAAGCCACCATACTGGGAGCTGAGTTCTTGTCAAAGGGCTGGTGAGACAAGTTTTAGGAAGAAGCCAAGCAGCAGTCTAAACGTTACAGAGTTCAAACTGTTGGCCTTACACAGCAGTTACAGCAAAGGGATGAATTCTTCCTCTGGTGGAAACAGCCAAGGGGGCCTGGAACTTGAGACAGAGGGCAAGGATAGGCGCTGAGGACAGCAGGCAACAATGAATGGGGTTTGTCTTTCCCTAACCATCAACAAGTCACCGCCATGCTGTTATGCTATAGGCAGAGGGCAGGGATATAATCACGAATGCTATTTTGGGGATGAGCTTTTTCCTCCTCAGTGATCAGAAGATTCCCTCAATCATTCAAGGCGCTGGGGAAGAAAGGAAACTTGCCTTCATGAAAGAACAAGGCAGACAACATGACAAAAAAAGGCGGGTGCTAATGGAGAAGCAGTTCTTGTGCCCCAACAGGTGGGCAGACCCCTAAGAATAATGAGCATCTAGTAAGCGCCAGGCTCTTTGCTGCTGTGTTGCAGACCCTCAGTTCCTCAGGAGACCCTGGTGAGTTAGGTACCACCCTTCGTTTTTCCGATGAGGACACGGAGGTTTGGTGAGCATAAATGACAGGATCAAGAGTACGGGGTCCCCACGCCCCGACTCAAGCAGCCTGACGCCGATGCCCGCCAGGCTGGGGACAGCTGCACTGAGGGAGCTCTGAGGCTCATCGAGGCTGCCCCACAGGGTGCAGATACCCTGTCCAGCCGGCGGTCCACGGTTTTGGAGAAGCGCCGGCTGGCGGGTAAGACACCGTCAGGGTCCGGCTCCAGGGACCGAAACAGGGGAAGGCGTGCGGGCGGGGGCTTACCGGCTCTCGGGGCATAGCGCTCCTGCACAGCGCCACCAGGCTCAACAGCAGAAGCGACATCGCCAGGGCAGCGCGCGGGACCCGGGCCAGCTGCCCGCTGCGCTCTTATTCCCGCGCCCGGGGCCGCCCCCTCCCGGCTCCGCCTCCCGCAGCGCCGCCCGAGCCCCGCCGCCCGCTCCGAGGGTGGGGCAGGTCGCAGAGCCCTCGCCTGCGGGGCTCCGAGGGATGGGCGGGGTCCGAGCCGAGCTCCAGCAGCCGCGGCGCGCACCGGGCCCCGCGCACACGTGCGTGCAGTGAGCCAGGCGTCCCTTGCGCACCACGCCGTCGGGCCGCGCGACCCGGTCCCCGCCCCGGAGCGGACCCGGTCAGAGCGGCTCCGAGCGGCCGGCTGACCCCTTCCGGACGCGGAGAGCGCGCCGGGCGCCCGCGCAGCCAGTTAAAGTGCCTCGGGGCAGGGGCAGGGCCAGGGCCACCCTCCCCCGCCCTCCCGCTCCTGCTCGGCGGCAGCCGACTGTCCCGGCCCTCGGCCGCGCTGCGGCGGGTGAGTAGTGGGGGCCGCCCCGCACGGAGCTCCGGGAGGCCTGGGGCGGAGGTTGGTGGTCGGGAGACTGGGGCCCCTTCACGCAACCGCCGAGTCTGGGAAACAAAAGGGGCGGGACGCGCGTGAGCGAAGCCTCCTGGACTTATTTGGGGGAGCTAGTTCTTCGAAGAACTAAGTTACACGTTATTTATTGGCGATAGAAATCCCCACTCCCCAGGTTTCCTGGTAAATGTGTATTTCCACGGAATCAGGATTGACAGCAACACCTGGGTCTCTCCGGCGGCGGGAGCCTTCCGCACTGTTGGAGCTGCGGTTCTCAGGTGTCACTGTGCCGGGATCCCTCGGCGCTGTCTAAAGTGAGATTGCCACCCGACCTTGGGCCGGGAGCCGCATTTAACAGCCCCCTCCCCTGTAATTCTGGGGTGGCCCAGGCACCATCCTCTGAGACACAGTGGTTTGGGAGGTTAACATAACAGAGATCAGCTGGGTTAACAGTAAAGTCACAGAGCCTAGAACGCCACTGCTTCAGCCCCTTCCGTTTGCAAAGGACCAGGACCAGGCTGGGGTGACCAACTGAGAGTCACTTAAACTTGTAGGCTGAATTAGCTCCATGCTACCGATGAGAAGACAGAGGCCTAGAGAGAGATATGAACTTATGGATGGGTTAGTTGTCAGCTGGTGAGAGGTTGTACTGAGTCAAGCAACTGCTTTTGCTGGGGCCCCACTGTGTGCCCGGCCTGGTCCACCTGCCAGGTTTGTGTTCTGGCCTGCGTGTAGTGGGGCCCAGTCCCCAGCCTCAGGGTCAGCTGGGGTCTCTGGCATGCCTGTATGTGGGGTTGTAGGTGACATTTCCAGACAATTGGTCTGATTCCTGACCAAGGAGGATCCCTCAGGTGAAGCTGTGTACTCACCCCTGCCTGGGGCCGGGCCACCCTGTCCGAGTTGCTTTGGGCCCTGTGGTCCCTGAGAGCATTTCCAGCTCTAACAGTCATCTTCCTGTTCGGCAAACACTTACTGGGGTGCAAAGGTGAAAGACACCTGGGTGCTGGCTGATGGATGCCCTTGGACTGAGGAGGAGTGCAGTGAGAAGTATATTCAAGGACACAGGTGCCCGCCCTGCTGTGGAAGTGCAGATGGGTTAGCGAACTTTGTCCCACAGTAGCAGTAGTGAACCACGGCAGGGGCTTAGGTAGTGGTCACTTTTCAGTTTTAGAAAGGACACCAGGGTGGCTGTGCAGGGTGGGTAGGAGCCAGCCCCTCTGAGACCAGCAAGTGGGCAGTTGTTCACCAACACGCGTTCACTCACAGTGAGTATCCGAGTCCCTGCTGTGGAGAGCTGGCGCCATTAAGATGCAAGGGCTCCAGGACACCAGGGATGCAGAGGTTAGGCCTGCAGACAGGGTTTGTGAGCCAGACATTCCCAGGCGGGGGTGCGGAGGAGGATAGGGCCCTGGGGGAGGAGAGCTTCCCGAAGGGAAGGGAGGACTGGGAGCCGCTGCAGCAGGAAAACCTGGGAGTAAGGAAGGGCAAAGGGACCAGGGGTTCTGGCCTGAGGGGAACCAATGGCATCACGGTGGCCTTGGCAAGAATAGGTGGGACGGGCATGGGAGGAAATAGGAGTGGCACGGGAGGTGGTTTTGTTAAGAAGCTGGTGGGCAGAGGAGGAAGCACGAGGAGACGGTGGCGTGGGGGCAGCTGAGCCTGTGGGGAGGAGGAGTGGAAGGAGGGGTACCTGGGCAGGGGGTGCCAGACAGAGACCCACAACACAGCCTGAGTGGGTTTTGCGCCGTCCTGGGTCCAGAGATGACACTTCCCTGGCCCCCTGGGCTTTAGAGGTGGGGGTGCTCCCCAGGCCAGCTCTGCAGAGGGGCTGTGGAGTGTGGGGTGTGAGGATGCACCTGGTGTTTCACCTGGCTCAGAAGGCCATGCCCCAAGTGTTTCCCCAGGAAAGGTCCTTGGTGATTAGATTGCAGCCTCCAAGCTGGCCTGCTGGAAGGGACATGACTAAGCCTGACAACTTTGTGGCTTTATAAACTGGAGGCAGGGCACTGCAGGTCAGAGGTCTCAGCTTCCTCTCTCTCCCTGACCTCTGGCAAGTCTCTGTTGTTCTCAGAGCCTCGGGGTCCTTTTCATGTAAACTGGCGCGGGTGAGGCAGGATGGTAGTGATGAGGTGATTAGAGTCTAGGAGAGAAGCAACCTTTGGAGATTTTCTGACCTTCTCCCTTCAGTCATAAATTCTTCTAGGTTTGGGTTTCTGAAGGAGCCACCTGACACAGTGTGGCTTCATGTCCAGGGCTTAGTAGTCGCTGGTCAAATGTTTGGGTGAGTAAGTAAACAGTGCATTCCTTCCTCCGAGGCTGGCGCCTAGGCCTGCGCACCAGAGAGAGCTGGTTTGAGCTTCCTCCTTTTTCCCCACAGGCAGGGTGAAGGTCAGGGCCTCTGTTGGAGCCTGGACGACCACTCTGGTAGCCCTGGCCTCGCACGGGCTCCGTGCAGCGTGGGGCCGAGACACCTGGCTCCCCCACCGCCCGCCCTGCACCTCGCTCGCCCTCAGCTGGCCTTGAGCGAGGCTCTGGGACTCCTGGGGCTTCAGCGTCCCCACGCGTAACCCGGTGCTGATGCCAGCCCTGCCTCCCTAGCAGGCCGGTTAGGAGGCTCAGATGAGACAGGAGATAGGAAAGAAAGTTGAAGGATTGAAAAGTGCTGTGTAAATTCAGGGGGAGGAGAGGCAAGACAATAAAAAAACCTAATATGTCTGTGTTCTGCGGAGGGACATTCCCTTGGACCCAAGAGTAATGACAGGCCCGAGATTCTGTCACTGGTACTCAGAACTTTGTCTCTCTGCCTGATCCATCCTAGAGGGAGCAAGGCCATCAGGGTTGTTGACATATCCTGCAGGTCCAGCCTCCACCCACACAGGTGGAATTTTCCACTTGGTTCTTTTGCAAATATTAATCAAGGTCCTGGCTGGTCAACAGTGGATTCATTGTCTTGTGAAGAGTGAGCTGTTTCTGGCAAATCCTGGCCACCTCCCAGGGCCCTCTGCGGCTAGCCCGAGCTGGGAGAGGAGCCACTGGGAGCACTCCCGTCCTCCGTGCTCTCCCACGCCCTGTGTTCTGCTCCTGCTTGGCAGGTTGGGCTTAGCAGGGCTGACTTTAATGCCTGCTCTGAGCCAGAGACCTGAAGCCACATCAAGGGCTTGCCCACCACCATCCCAACAGGGCCACAAACCACAAACATTTTTTCTGCTCCAAGGGAGGGGCTGGCCCAGGAAAGCCCGCAGACTCAGGCCTCGGTGTTAACATGGCGTTAATACCACTCTTGCTGGTTCCTAGGATGAGACCCCATGAAGTCGCGGGTCATGTGTCCTGTTCATGGCTGTACTCCCGTGGCTGGTCCCCTGGGTACTTGTATTGATTTTCACATCTGTTGTTATCACATTAGGGCTTCAGGAAAGTGCAGAAGAGGAGGCAGGTACTGTTGTTCTGTTAAAGCCCCATCTGTAAATGGGGGTGATGGAGGGGACCTCGCAGGGCTATAGGGAGGATCACCCGAGATTTCAGGGGGAAAGCGGTTAGCACCGTGTTGGGTACACACAGCAGGGTCGGCGATATGTTTTTGATCAATGATACTTGACTTAATCTGTTATTAGTGATATTATTATTGGTGTAACATCACACTTTCTGGAGGAGGAAACAAGCTGTGCGAGTGAGAGAGAGAGAGAGAAAGAGAAACGCAGGCCATGCTGTGAACTTGATAAAATCACCATGTGCTTTTAGCTTTGTGCTTTTAATTCTTTGAAGTGTTTTTAGCTCTTATTTCCTTTTGCCCTAATAAAAAAACTGGTGAAATGGGTGGCTCTGTCCCAATTACATAGTTGAGGAAACTGAGGCCCAGAGATGTTGAGCTGTGAGAGGTGGCTGAGCTGAGATTGCAGCATGAGGATCCTGACCACCAGCAACTTTCCCTTCTCTTTTAAAGCAGCGCAACTTGAGCATGGAGCTCCAGTGCATAAAATAGATACAGGTGATGTTCCATGGTAGTGTGCGTTTATTTTATAAGTTTATATGTATGATTTTTTTTGCTTGTTTTTTGCATATCATAGTGAGAACAGCAATACCATTTTCAGGAGCCGGGGGTGCTAGTTGGTATCTTCCACTAACCCAAATTCCTGATTTATTTCTGCACCGTAGTTTAATGATAATTCCCAGTTGATACAAAGAAGCAGTCAGTTTTTAAGCAGCTCAGCTTGCAATCTTGGGACCCTCTGCAATTAACCGCATGCAGACGTTTGTAAGGGAAATAGTAGTGGGCATGTGTGTGAAAGCTGGCTGTCTAAGCACAGCTCGTGAAGGTGCCTTGACCAGAACGGGCACTCAGCACACGTGCTGGGCCTTGCTCGCACTTGCTGAAGGTGGCCCTGCTTGTGCTGGCGTGGAAGTGTGTTAAGTGAGCATGGATTTAATAATCAAACAGCTTGTAGCGCTGCTACTCTCTTGCCCATGACTTGTTTATGGCAAGTATTCGAGCTAGCACAGCAAACCGTTAGAAGGGACGCTTTCGAGGCCTCCGGCTGGTCACCTGAGCTGATGGGTTTGGGGTCTCCAGGGGTCAGTGTCTGGTCCATAACAGTGCTTCCCAAACTCTCTGCGGGGAAGGCCCAGGTGAGTGTTTGTTTTTTAAAATTTTGAACTTTCATAGGCCAAATTTTAAAATACCACGAAAATTAGTAGTTATAATAAAAGCAAAGATATATGAAATATTAGCCCATTATCTTCTTATTAGACTCAGCAGACATAAGGTCACCGCGTCAAATTGCTATAAAAGTTTCTCAACTCTGACTTTTGATTCTGTGCTTATCTTTCGCAGACAATCACAATAGCGTGTGGGCCGGTGCTGGTGGCAGAGTGCATTGTACCCTGTCACTTCTGGGTATGGGGTGGGTGTGTTTTAACTGAGATTTTAAAAACTGCTTAAAAGTGCACTTGAAAGAGGAAGC